ATCCATGAGCTATCAATTTTATGACTGAGAAAAAATACAGCTGCCTGTGTAAGAGTCTTTAAGAAACAATGTCAGGAAACATCAAGCTTCAAATGGAAACTGAGTACAATGTACTTTTATTTACCTACAAATTTTTTATGAATGTGAAAAGTTCTCGTAGTAAGGAACTTTCACATGCTTGGACATTATGTTTTAGGAGCATAACTTTTATATATATCCACCCATTAAAAATAATTTTTCTATTTAGCATTTTAATGGTCATATAGCTTACCCAAAAGATGTAGCACTATTTTCACTCTTTCACGGCATTTTGAAATACTTAGGATACTCGGTTGTAAAGCAATAAATATTTACAGATTGCAGAATGATTCAAGGCTTTAGTTCTTTGCACAGTGCCCCTAAATTTTTTATCACAAATTGTTTTTTGTAATATAATCGAGTTACCTCTCATTTAACGTAATCCTACAGAAGTAAATATCATCGTGATTAATAGAGCTAGGATGATATAGGTATCCAGCGATACAATGAATGTACCGATACTGTGATTGTGATATACAAGTGACACCATTCAGAAAAAAAAAACTTATCTGAACAATAATCGCTTACATTTATGTGGCATTTTTCTGAACATATAAACAAATTATTTTTTTTCTCTATATATTAGTATTATGTCGATAAATAAAGAACTTGTATCCAATTCTTTTGTATGTATTATGAAATAAAATATGTTCAAATCATTACATCATTATGCCAACATGCAATATAACTATGCTGACTTGGTAGAAAAATGTTATCAGAGAAGGATTTGGAAACGTTTCAGAAATTATCAAATTTATCAATTATCGCCGACATATGATATCCAACATTCTTGATGAAACATTTATGTCGACATTCAGTTTATTTATGTTGACATGCAAATTGTTTATGTCAACATACAACTTATTTATGTTGACATGCAAATTGTTTATGTCGACATACAACTTATTTATGTTGACATGCAACTTAATTATGTTGGCATGCAACTTATTCATTTGGTCATTAAACTTATTTATTTTGACATGTGAGCTAGTAAGTTATATGTCAGTATATTTATCCTGCATGTCAACATTTATAGGTCTCATCACAACATAAAAATAATTTGCAAATCAACAACTAAAATGTTGGCAATCAAACGAAAGCATATTTGATAATTTTGAAAAAATTTCCAAATTCATATCTGATTTATTTTTCTTGCATGGCAACAAAGTTATGTTTTATGTTGACATATTTTAATATTTATGCAGTTGAGAAAATTATCTTGCACGTCGACATATTTTATAGAAAAATTTACATATAGGGGACAAAATGTTTGCTACCATGTCTACTTGAGAGTAATTACAGATTGGAATTATAGTTGAAGAAAAAAAAATGGACTGTTTAGAATACATTTTTTTTTATTTGTGCTTAATGAGATACATGTATTCCATAGCTTGTGGATTCTTTTCATATCAAAATCTTTTAAACATACCATGTTTTGATGAATTTCAAGGGTTGTATTAAAAAGAAAAGATAGAAAATGGTGAGGAAAAACGAGAATGATATAATTTTAGCGTCCAACATTGGGATTCGTCCAATTACGGTTATTTTTCAAGTTCTTAATTTTTTTGATAAATTATGTAATACTAGTAGTAGGGTATAATGAAAGAAACACATGGTTAAGTATGCAAGATTTTTTTTAAAGATTTGAACAGATATACTTACGCATTTTTGTGTTTTCTAGGGCATTTGTGTGATGTTGATAACCTCATGCTCAGTAGACTCTGGCATGGAGTGTTTTGAAATCTTCCTCGTCAGAATCTGTTACTTAGGTTCAAACTGGTAAGGTTTAATGCCAAGCTCAACATTTATGGCGTCCAATTCTAAAAACTTCAACACATACCACTTATCCGGCTAGTATAGTCGTAGTTATCTCCATTCATATGCATAGATTTTGATGTATTTTTTCTTCAACATATCAAAAAGTAGAAAAACCGTTTCAATTAACCAGTCAAAAATAATTTAAGATATATTTTTTAAATCATTTGAAATACAAAACTGCGGAAATGGGGCCATGGAGCACTTCAAAATTGAGTTATCTGCTAACAACACAGTTTATTTATGTAAAAATGGCGCTTAAACAACATAAAATGTTTAAAACGGTCATTGTTACATCATTTTATATTCAATTTGTGCTGTTATATATTGCTTTATAGATTTATAGAAATCGATTGCAGGTGACATGCAGTATTGGGCGTAAGGTAGTCCTCATTGATATGTAGGCAAATTAAGAGCATAGAGAACCACTCGAGAAAACTCTAAAACATGCACACTCTGAAAATGCTGGAGGAAGCAGGAACTATATCAAGAAAGAGCCATGCATTCGTGGATAAATAGTAGAGGCAGTTTTTGAGTGGTAAAGTCTCTGTATCGACCGATGGTCGCCTGACAGGAAACGAATTATCAGTAAAAATCTGGTCAAACGCGTTAGTAATGTTATGGAAAGTGATAGCCACTTCTCTGTTGCGGAACTTGTGAAGATAATATTACACGGTAAAAAAAAAGAGAATGTCGGTGAACTCTTACCAACTTATTCTACTCGAACAAATGTTAGTACACAAAGTGCAATTGGTATAAAATGTTTTAATTAGTGGGTAAGGCACAACAGACTGTGTAAAATAAAGTTTTTTTTTAAGTTTTTAAATTTTTTTTTTTAAGAAATAGTCATTTTTGTTATGAAATCAAATCAAACGAAACTGCCTACAAAATAAATGTTTTGCATATCTTGTTGAAGTAATCAGTCCAAATTATAAATCTAATATCAATGAACATTACATGACCAGAAAGCATCGTCTGTATTTAGACTTTCATGCAGTTTACAAGAAATGAGCATCTTACAGGTCCTTGAAATTTTGACTTAAATTTAAGTCTGTTTAATGATCACGGGACCAGGGCCAAGAATCATGAAGCAAACTTCGACTTAAGTCCAAATTTTGATCATCTATTAGATGTTTATAACTTGTGAACTGAAACTTTTATTTAGTATATCCAATAAATGTTTGATGATACAATATTGAACAGCAATTTTATTTCGGTCTGTTTTATTTTTAGAGCATTTCACCTTAATTATTTATACAGAGTTTGTTTTTTTAAAAGCTTTAGATGTTTCATGATTCAGTAGCTAATGTCTTAAGCCAAATTTTTTAGCTAAGATGTCACACCCCACTTAGTGGTACTGTATTACTCTCAACCTTAAAAAAATCACATAAAATGTAAATCTTTGCTAAAATATTTAATTTCTAAAGTAATATAAAAGATGCAAGAACATAAAAACAAAGCAATACGTGAATAAAACATACATTAAAGTCCTCCATAATATTAAAAATTCTTAATGATACATTAATAAAGAAGCAGATGGTATTTTCCTCATTAATTTTAACTTTTAAGATTATTTAGCTCACCCGAGCTGAAGGCTCAAGTGAACTTTTTTGATCAAAATGTGCCTGTCGTCGTTGATGTTATCGCTGCCGTAGTCATTAACCTTTTACAATTTCATCCTCTCCAAAACAACTGGGCAAATTCAACTTGGCACAGAGTATCTTTACGTGAAGGAAATTCAAATTTGTTCAAATGAAGGGCCACGCCCTCTTCCAAGGGTAGTTAATTTAGAAATAAAGAAAATTGGGTGTTTCATTCAAAAATCTTCTCGAGAACCACAGGATCGTAAAAGATGAAAACTTATGTAAAAGCTTCTTGACATACTTAAATTCCAATTTGTTCAAATCATTACTCCGGGGGTAGGGTGGGGTCACAGCGGGCAATCAAAGTTTAACATAGAAATGCATAGAAAAAAAATCTTCAAAAAATCTTAAGAACAGCAAAGTCATGATAAGTCATATTTATATGAAAGCATCCTCGGTAGTGTAGATTTTAAGTTTGTTCAAATCATGACACCCGGGTGAAGGGTAGGGCCACAATGGGCAATTAAAGTTTAACTTTGGAATACATAGAGAAAATCTTCAAAAATTATCTTCTCAAGAATAGTAAAGCCTTGAAAGGTCATATTTATATGACAGCAATATCAGGTAATATAGATTCAAGTTTGTTCAAACAATGACCCCCTGGGGTGGTGTTGGGGCACAATATGTGATGCAAGTTTTACATAAAAATATATAAATAGGGGGAAAATCTGCTGATTAGAAAAAGAGGGGTCATAGTTAGGTGAGCGTTGTGGCCCATGGACCTCTTGTGATTCAATGTGATTTTGTACTTCAAAGGACAACGTTTTGCTTGTCATATATCTTTCAAAAGTAAGCATTAATTAAATGTGAAAATTACAAACAGTGATCATGCTCAAAGGTACATTTAAACATTAAACATAAAAAAATGTGACCAGAGCCAACACGGAACTCTGAAATCAGAGTTGGGATCAGGTGCCAAAGAGGAGTAAGAATTCCCTGTCGACCTGTCACATATGTAGTGTGCTCCTTATAATGTGGTAAACAGAAAAATCCGTAGACAATTTAGTGCGAAAGTGATGACCTTAAATCTAATGAAAGACGCCAGTCAACATTTGACCTGACGGCAATCTGCTTAAAATCAGCTGTTTGTTTGGTAACCGTAGCAAAAAAAAAAGAAAAAAAAGAAGAAGCTGATTTTAAGCAAATTGACCCAACGGCAGATTGTATTTGCAAACAAGGTCATCGTATCGATCATAGAAATTGAGGATTGTTGGCTTTTAATGAGATTATTAATATCCTTGTATCAGCAATTTATTAACCTTAGCCTGACTCGATTTGGAAATTGTTTGTATACATAAATGATTTCATATTTTATTAAGTATCAAAGACTGTAAGTTTCTTTCAAATAAAAAAAAATGTTTGCAAATCAAGCATCAGCAACAGCAAAAGCGAAAATAAATGGACTCAGTTTTACACAGGCTCTTCATCAGATGATGACTTGATTTTGATTTCTTCAGAAGTTCTTCATGTACTTTCCTGGTCTGTAAGCCATACTGGCGCTCCCTGTGACCCGTCAGACCGTCTGTATGACGTCATTGAACAAGTACGTTCTCGCGAGATATCCAATGATCTAGAATTCATACCATATGATAATTTGCAACAAATAGCACGATTAAATATTCTTTTTACTGAAAGAATTGTTTCTTTCCGCAGTAAAATGTAGATCCATGGGTCGATGATGGAATTGGTTACTGCGAGCCTCAGAACAAGCAATTCTGTTCCACCATCTCCATCCATCCAAAAAACAGCATGGGCAAATATGACGCACTTTAATATAATAAAAAAGTACTTTAACGTTTTTTTTTTTTGGGGGGGGGGGGTGTACATTTTTTTCTATTTGAATCTAACATTCATTGAATATTAATGCATCAGGGTTTTCTATCATTTCAAATTTAACTATGGCTCAAGACGAACACGAATTGCTTTTATTCGCGTTCTTTTCACGATCGAGTTCGCGAGGCAACCACTGAATAAATTGAGAATAAATTGAAAAACACAACTTTTCTGAATCATGACTTTAATACAAAAATGGTATTAAATATTTGGCAAATTGAAATATAAATTTAATGATAATGAAAAACAATGAACGAACATCGAATTTAACATTGTTAGATCCCCCCCCCCCCAACCTAAGAACGTATTTTAAATAAACGAATATAAGGTAATAGAATTTAAAAATGTTAGAACTAATTGTAATAACAAGTTTGAAGTGTTGAACCTGATTTTTCAAGAAATAAATTTGTTTACATAATGAAAATTGTACACCTACAGTGTCAGGCCAGAGGAAATTCTTGTAGATCAAGAAATCAAGCTTTCACCTGTATATTTACAAGTATTGGTCTCAGTTGACTAAAATTTCTTAAATCTTGTGAAATATAAAACATATTAGCTGTTTCGAGTCATAAAATACTATTTGATGGATCTATTGTTAATTTTTCAACATTACATCAATACATGTTTTCGATACACATGTTTGACTCACAGTGCCAATGCAATTTTAGAGACGTAAATATCTTTAGTAATACTAGGTAATTTTGAAATTAGTATTTCAGAAATCATTTGCAATTACCGGAAAGTGTAAAAAATGGCTTGTTCTTTTCATTCATGCATAAAGAATTTAACTGTGACAGGGCCACCACGTTAAACGGCCAATGAAGAACCCTGCTGTGTATTAGGATACATCTACATGCTCCGCTTCTAAATTTTTAGAATAAATTATAATACACTTCTTGTATATGTTATTATTAAAAGTATTTTATTAAAAATGTTAAAATATCATGAAGTGGGATATTAAGAGTGGGTAGAAGGCGATTGACATAGGCCCTATTCCAAGCAGGAGTTTCAATATTCTTATTATTATTTTATGATACGAATGTAATTCGTTGCTGAATTTACAGTTCTCACACAGGAGCATTCCTAAATATGAAAATTAATCAAATCAATTGGACATGACTAGTTCAACGACTGAATAAAGTACTTTTTGATTTGAATTTAAATAGAGAATTTTACATACTGTAAACCAACTATTCTTCGCGACATCTTTTATTCGCGATTAGTCTGTTTAAAATCAACCCGCGACGATTAATTCTCGCGACTGAGGAAACATTCTCTACAAATACAAAGCAAAATAAATGGTTCGCAGCGATTAATATTCGCGAGTTAAAGTACTCGCGGATATTTCCCGCACGCGAATAAAAGTTGGTTTACAGTGTACGGTTTAAAAGTATTATTATTTTGGTGTTCAATAATGTTCGGTTTGAACAAGCATGGTGTCATTTCAAGTCTCTAAAAGTGGGAAACGTTAACAACGCTGACTGTTGGATTTCTACTTTGCTGAATGATGATATTGCAAAATTAGTTTGCTACAGGGTACACAATGCTTTTGAACAGAAAGAAATTGGTAACAATTTTGCCTGCCTTTTTTCAGATTACTTTATGACATCTTATAATCCGCACTTCCTGATTTCTGGTAAAATGTCAGAAAATATCTTCTTCAAGTGTCAGATGGACACTAATTGTGCTCCTTTACTAGGCGACCTGTTTTCATATTCCTGTGAAGCAGAATTTATTCAAGCACTTTTTCATGAGAAGAAAAACAACCCTTGCTGTGGCCTTCAACTCAACATTTAGATATGTCGACGACTTTTTATCAATAACCAAAAGTTACTTTCATTCATATGTCAACCCGATATATCACAGTGAACCAGAAATAAAAGATACTATAGAGTCTGCCACATCTGTTTCATATTTGGATGTTTTACTGACTATAGACGATAATAGCCAAATTATAACTAAACTGTATGGCAAACATATGTAATCTGTATGACTTCAGCTTTTCCATCGTCAGCTTCCCTTATTAATGTAGCAATATTCCAACATCACCTGCATATGGTTTTTAAATCCCCCAACTGATTTAAGAGGCAATAGCATGTTCTGATTATGATCAATTTTTAGAAGGAGGCAAACTACTGACAAATAAGTTAATGTTACAGGATTTCAACAATCGCGCTTAAAATCAACTTTTTGCAAATTCTACGGTCGTTATAATGACCTTGTTTGTAAGTACAACCTATCGTTGGGTCGTTTTTTGTCTGACATATTTCATAGTATTTGTTAGGTCATTGCTTTTACACTAAATTTGAGTATGGAGAACTCCGTCTTCATGATGAATCATAGGACTCATGGCGGGTGTGACCGGTCAACAGGGGATGATTACTCCTTCTAGGCACCTGATCCAACCTCTGGTGTTTCCAGGGGTCCGTGTTTTGCCTTGATTTACGAGATTAATCACTGTTCGTTATCTTCACCTTATATAAGTTTATTCTTGGTTGATTCAGTTGGTTAAAAGGTTTTTGCATATACTTGACAGCCAAATATTGGCAACCCTTTCCACAGGCTTTCTCAGTTACTCATGGGGTTCCTCTTTCATTCCATCAGTAACATTTGAAGATTTGAATCTGACAGGAGCCTTAGCTTTAGATAATCTTCAAGGCTTAAGAAACCTCCTCTTTGAAATATTTCATATTATAAAAAAACTTGTTCATTTTGTTTGTAAAAGAAAAAAGTTTTTAGAAAAAATATCAGTGATGGAAATGAAAATGTATCCTTCTTTAAATCCATTATATACGTAAAAATTGTTCACTTTGCTTTTATTTTAAATTCCTTTTGGATTAATCAAGTCAGTAATGGAATTAGAATTTTATGATTCATAATTTGCATTAATGGTCTAAGGTGACCGGTTCATTTTTTATGAAAAAAATTAAAGATTTAAGTTACTTGGTATGGATGTCACTATAAAAGCATCATCTGTACAAGAAAAACCATAAAATATAGGTGTTTATGTACGTGTTAATAAAAATAACTACTGCATACTTACAATTAAAGGCGTCCATAATGATGCAAAGACAACTACTATAGTAAGCAAAAATACAATGTTAAAGATGTCTCTTTTACTGTCGTTATTTTGCATTCTAGTTTCCTTTTGTAGACATCGTTTACGACAGATTGTAAACACTACTGTACTATTCAAAGATACAGTCGTCACTATAATTATAAGTCCTATCAGGGAATAGAGAAATGAGTTGGCCCTGTTTAGTATCGCAGTACTGTCATTCGATGTGACGTTACTAAAGTCGATGAAGCACCAAGACTTTGGGTAGAAACTATGACTGTCACCAAGTCCAAACAGATGAAGGCTACATAACACGGCTGAAGAGATCCAAGTAACCCCAAGCATAATGTTAACACGTCTATATTTTGTGTTCGTGTTATAAAAAGTTGGATACATAATGGCAAGGAACCGGTCTACAGACATACCGCAAATAATCATAGCAGATGCAAGGAGCGTGAATGTATATATAAAAGAACTGTAATCACACAGAGCTGGTGGCATCTGAAAACAAGTAACAGCGTACCTTATCATTACGCTTGGGTATACTAGCAAAATTCCTCCTCCATCCGTAAGAGCCAAAGCAGCCACCAGACGATAAAATGGACGCCATTGGTGAGTCTTTGCAGAAAGCTTAAGAACCAGCAAAGCTATTCCATTACCAAGAACTCCGATAGCAAACTGCATTGCAGGTGGGATAGGCGATTCATGGTTACAGTTAATATCGTTAGTGGAATTATTAGATGAATTCTTCATTTTACTGTCTGTAGAAATTTACTTCCTTTAATCTTGGAAAACCTTTTCTGTAGAGTATCTTTCTACATTTTTAACAGCTATCATATCAACATGCTGTGTATGCAGGGGGTTTATCAATAAATTGATAAAATAATTTCTATCTATTGTTTGAACAATGTGATTAGATAGCGAAGTGAAGAAACTAGCTTACCCTCATACACTGTACATACTTTCAAACTCTAATACGGTGTAATAGTAAAATTTAGTGGCTGATTGTTTCAAGAAGCATTTTGACGAATTCAGTGGTTTTTTAGGGTGTACATGTAGTATTGATATTATTTCAAGATTCGTTTTGCATTGTCATATACATACACTAAGTGGCCAAAAGTATTGCAACAAACATGGCTGACGTCATCACATTGTAATATTAAAAGGCATGGAAAAAACAAAAAAAAATCCCATAAAATAAAATCTATTTACTTACTATATTCCGTAAGTATTTTGTTGCATAGCCTTTTTAGATGATAACCCGTTGTGGCTGGAAGGAATCGACGCATGCAGGCTGCGAAAGTCCATTCCGGATTCTTGTGACTGCAGCGACTAAGTCATTGTTGTCAATCTCTCGGAATAAATTGATTTTGATCAACTGAGGACATTTTCGATTATTTTAAGGTCTTGGGACTAAACAGGAGAGTTAAATTTTTGAATACCGTATTCTTGTTTCCAAGAATTGATCTGTCTAGATGCCTGTGGGGTTGCGTTAACATTTTGGAAAATATACTGGCGATTCCCAACACTTTGGCAATAAGTGGCAATAAGTGATTATCTAGCAATTCTATATACTGTGGAATCATTTAAATTCGTGGGGGTCAATGTTCGTGGGCAAGCAAAATTTTATTGGTTCGTGGGGATGTAATTTCGTGGGCAGCTCGTTTATTTGTTAGAATTACTTAATCAGTACGTTGACAAAAAAAAAATGTTCGTGGGGATGTAAATCGTGGGTAAGGGTGACCCATGAAATCCACGAACATTGATCCTCCACGAACAATGATGATTCCACAGTACTTTATAGAATTTAGATTTCCATCAACTGGCACATCGACACCAATACCGTCGTAGGTAATACAGCCTCAAAACATACAACTTTTTCCGTTGATTGAGGTAAGAGTGCTTCCATTTTTCGGACAATTTTCTCCATAAACTCAAAGAATTATTGGTTAGTTTTACATATTGTCAGAGTTTTTTTTTTAAATTTTACCCCGCCTGTATCCTTCCTGGTGCAATCTACGTGGAACAGTTCTACTGGATACATGTGTTAGTTCTATTGAAAGTTGATGTTATATCTCCATGAGATTGTCGGCAATTTGCTTTAAGGATTCAATTTATGTCTGTCAATTGATTCGATACGCAAGAACATGCTCTACGTACGAACACGAGTACGTAGCTAGCTATTGAGAAACAAAATGATGAAACAAAAATTTCAGTCTCGTTTAAAATCATATTTTCGCAAGTTCTATTGTCGATACAATGATTTTGTCAGCAAATACAATCTATCATTAAGTCAAATGCTAACTGACGTTGTTCATACTAATTGTTAGGCTATTCTTTACACACTGAATTGTCTTTTTCCCTTTTTTTTTTATCATGATAAGGAGCACACTGCGGATGTGACCGGTCGGCAGGGGATGCTCACTCCTTCGTGCCTCTAATGTTTTAGAGGTCCGTGTTTGCTCTGCTTTTCATTTGTATTGTTTCAATGCACTTTTGAGCTTCAATAACGTTCGCTATCTCCATATTTCATAAAATTTCTGATCCCTCCTCTCATCTGTCACTCGATCCACTTCCACCTTCCACTTCGGGGGTCGTTTTCTACACTTTCCTTCTGATGGAATTTCACCAGAACTCATCCCACTGTACTACTGTGTATTCCCAATGGTTCACTTATTTTAGTTGTTTAATACTCTTGAGCGCGAAAGTTCGATCCGCTCCTTTTATTCAGTTGACAATTCGACTTTATTTACGTTCACAACCCACCGGAAATCGTCTGTTTTTTGTAAAAACAGAAACGGTCCCGGAAATAAATCATTCACACCCCGAATTTTATGTTCCATTCGTTATGCGTCAACATTGAAAAAAAAAGTTGAAGCGAGTTAAACATGATGACCTCAGTCATGTTTGTGCCACTTTTGGCCACTCAGTGTATACTATATTCATATCCATTTCTCTGTTTTGATTAGTGTAAGGGGTTTCAGAAAGTTTGCTACTTTTTATTCACTAATCTAAAAAAGTGATGATTTTATCAGTGTTGTTAATTTATCATTTGTAATCAACTCATTTTTCGTTTTTTATACCAGTTTTAGCCATGTTTCCCATAAAACCTATCAGAAAAAAATTATAGCACCTTAGAATCAACCTTCATGGGCATTCCAAAAAGCAATGTAAAAATGGAGTTTTCATTTCATTTACCTTATTTATACTGTATAACCTGGATTAAGGCAGTTTATGATTTATAAGCACGAATGTAAGACAATACATGTAATACGATATGAACTTTTTTCTATTCAATGAAATAGCGCGTTAAGAGCAGAATTAAATTTTTAATGACTTAAAGTTTATAAGTTCATAGACCAGTGCCTATTTCTTTTTGAGTTTCATTCGTTTCCATTTTAGTCCATTACAAGTTTTTCTCTTAGTTTAGCGTCCACCTATTATTCAAGAACCGACCAACCAATGCACAAAAAGAAAAGAAAAACAAGCCAAAATATATATAAAAAAAGAAGATTTTGTTGTCATAAAATGATATCATTCAAAGGATTTCATTTTATTTCATTATTCTATTTTTTCTTGAAGAATTTTTTATTCCCTTACAAAATCAGGGTAGTAAATGCTAAGTATTTACAAATTTGAGAGATTTCATACAATATAAGGAAAAACGACAGAATTGTCAGATTTCGCCAAAAATAAATAAATAAATAAAATCTGAATTACTGAGTCTGTGTAATTTTTTTTGAAATAGGATGTCAAAAACCAAGGTACATGAGGACGCTAAACATAGAAAAAAAACTCGGAATGAGTCGATGTTTGAATTTATATGCTGCGCTTGAAAGCAGCTTTGAAAATAATTATCTATAGTAAAGAGAAAAGAATGTAGTGCGTGGATAAGTTAAAAAAAAAAACCCTATCTGTTTACTTTCAATCCATTAATTAAAATCTCTATATATACCTCTCTGAACACCTTGTACATGTAGTAGTTATTTTTTATACAACGTACCTGGTAGGTAATGTTTGCTTTTTTCGTTCCTAAAATATCAAATCTTATAAGTATCACATCAAAATGTATTTTCTCTTCTTTAATACATCCTGATTTATTTCTTCCTAGACATCAACATTAAAATTTCATTTTTATGAAAGCGATCAAGGTTAGTTGGATAATCTGGAATATAAACATTGTCCATTACAAGCTATTCTGTGTTCAACGTCCACCTATCGTTCAAGAACCCAACAACCTTTTCACAAAGAAAAGAAAGAAATAAAGCTAAAATTATAAAAACAGACTTTTTAATCATTAAAAATGACATCTTTCAAAGGATGTTTTATTTCATCATTCTATTTTTCTTGTAGAAATATTTATCCATCGCAAAATCAATGTCCCAAACGCTTAGTATATACAAATATGATAGATTCTCGAAAAAGATAAGAGAAAAATTCAGATGTTTCCGCCAAATAATCACTTTTTGAACTACTGATTTTGCGTTTTTCTTTCCTGATCTGGGTTGTCGAAAACTAAGGCGCATGCGGACGCTTAAGTGGAATAAAAAAAATTGGAATGGCCTTATAATCTCAAAGCTATTGTGTTATTTAAAAAAAAAATCTTTATACTGTGGAATCATCAATGTTCATGGGGGACCAATTTTCGCGGATCTCCCTTATCAACGAATTTACATCCCCACGAACAATTATTTTATCAACACATTTATTCATTGAGTCTTCTGTATATATGAGTTACCCATGAAATTACGTCCCCACGAACCAGTTAAATTTTACTTGCCTACAAATACTAGAGGTGATCAAAAAGTTCGCGAACTATCTCTATATTTACAAAACTACAGATCAGAATGAAATTTGGCACACATACAGTCATACACATGTTCTATAAATAGCAGATGTTATGCAATTTTTTGCTCCATGTTTGTGACGTCATAATGTGAAAATGATGACAATATGTAGTGACAAAAAAATGATTGATTCAGTTGTACTCGAGCAACGAATGGCTGTAAAGTTTAACGTGTATCTTGGAAATTCCTTTGCAGTAGCATATACTAATTTGGACAAGGTTTAGGAAGATAAAAAACTTGCCAGAAGTTCAAACATTAATTGGATTGATTGTTTTAGTGAAGGAAGGGAGATGGTTAAAATGTTTGTTTTGTTGCCCAGTGAAAGCAAGCTGGGGAAGAGATGTGTCCTTAGTTTCAGCAATTTGATATGGAAGCTCGGCAAGTTACATTTAGAAAAATAATTGAATATCTAAATAATAATATAATTATCAAATCCCTAAAATATCTTTTACTTTTAACTTTAAACATATTAGATATGATAAAAAGAAGGCGCCTGTACTTTATCCACATTGGATAAACAACGCTCCCAAGACAAAGGACTCGGGTTGTGATGGTTACCATGCTCATTCTAGGAAAGGATATCCTTTTCCACCCATCTTACTGCCGAGATTTGGTCTTTCTGACAAATAAACTGTTCTTGTTGTAAAAAATAACTTGCATGGTAAGAAATATAAGACTCGGAAAAATCTTCTAGCTTCTGTGAACAGAACGCTACGGAGCATGTTACGTGACCCCCTGTATCACGTGATTCGCGCATGGGCAGAACGGTGGCAGATGTGCATTTAAATTGGATAGAACTACGTTAAGGCCAAAATAAAAAATAGGTTTGTTTCCCCTAACGCGACCGACCCACTTAAATCGTGCCGACTGAAAAGTTTTTTTAATAAAATTATTCAAATATTTATTTTTATTGTTTATCAACTTTATAAAATACAATTTCATCAAAATTCGTTTTTTATCAGAATGGCGACTTTTGTTTTACTCTCATTTGGCGCCCACAACATGTGGCCACAGAGGGTTATTTAGCGTCATAAAACAACGGCGATGTATCAATCTTAATATACATCTTTAACTTATTAGAATCCTACACTCGAGAGACATTTCGTGAATTAAATATACCATGACTAAGGAGTGTTAAGATGGTATTTACAAATGTGTCTTCTAAAATTAACGTACGTAGTAAACATAACAAAGCTTGCCTCAGGAGCAGATGAGGGGTCCACTTTGTGTATGCATATCAATAAATTTCACTGCATTTCATTCGTTTTGATCTAAAAAACACTTCATGTATGATTGTATTTTTACTATATAGGACCATAGGATTTGTAAATATATCTTTGTATAATTATTTCATCTTGATAAATATAATTCGGATGTCGTTTCTTTATTCCTTTTATTTATGGGGTAAACTTCCTGACTATAACATTAGATATATGAAACTTTAATCATTTTAGATATGGTTTGGTTGAATTAAATATTGTTTATACAGGTACTCTCTTTTCAAATAGTGTTGAAATCTTTCAAGTTGGCGTATGGTACGGCTTCATGAGACGTCCAGTGTATTTTTCTTTTCTTTAGTTGGGCCCTTGAAAATAGGTTGTTTCTTTGCTTTAAAATACCTTTAAAAGTTGCTGGGTCGAGAACATTTGAACACCTGCCTGGTGGAGAGCTCCTAATTTAGACTTTTTCTCGGCACTTATGGCCATTGGTCATACATGTAAAACATCAGTAAGGGATCTTTATCGTGCCAACATCTACATGTATACTGTGACACTGCATGGCCCTACGTTTTTTACGGTCTCATTTGACTGACCAGTTTCCACGCCCCACGTCGGGACCTGTGACTTAGAATAAGCTCCTTAATTACGTCGTGACTCCAAAACGAAACATTAGAATTACTGCGCCACGCGAGGCACTTGACATTTTATCTGTGTAAGCGCTCGAAGATGATAGTAGGTTTAAAAAAAATATACTCGGATGGCCGATGGTTGAGTATTGCGAATCCTGTCTTTCTGTAAAAATTCAATTTCAATAAATTTAAAAGTAAGTTCGAATGAATAATATTTGTGAATTAATTTACCATACATTTTAAATTTCATTTGTATGATATTCGGTTTAAAAATCGGTTTCTTTTGTTATTTCTAATTTATACAGATATTATTCAATTTTAAGAATGTATTTTCAAAACTGCTGTCAGAAAAAATAATAATTTACCTACCTACCTACTCAATTTGAAATTTTCGGGTCGGGTTAGGGGAAACAAAGATATTTTTTTATGATGGCCTAAAAAATATTGAACACTGAAACCTAATTTCATTTCTTTTATGGAAGAAATTCAATTAGTTCGCGAACTTTTTGATCACCCCCAGGTATTGATCCCCGCAAATTAAAATGATTCCACTGTATGTAATTAATGTTCCGATTTTTTCATTTGAAGTAGAAATAATAAATCGTAATACTAAATACTGTCGTAAATATAGCTTATGCTGACAATGGATCTTTTCTTTTGTTTTATAAATTATGATATTATCGCAATGAATAATGGTTACTTGTGAAAAGCCTCTTGATTATAAGTATCATTCAGATTTGACGGAAATAAACAGTTCAAATTTTCATATCTGTAACTTGATGATTCAAGTTTTGTACTTCAGCTGTTTCATTAATAAGAAACAAACAGAATTTCAACGGTGTCCACAATAGACACTTTATTTTAAACAAATATAAAAACAAAAAACAAATAATGATACAAAACAAAATAAACTTTAAAAAATTAACAGCAAAATCATTATATCTATATATATCTGCATTCACTTTTCAAATTTCTTTGTTTTTTATGTACACAATGAAGCTTCCCCTCCAGTTTTTAGTTATTTTTTTTGTTCTTTTCTTTAGCATTTCTTGTGATGTGGTCATATTTCGAGAATTTCTTCTACACTTTTTGGTTACATTTTGATCTTTTCTAAAGAAGTTATAATGATGTTTTTAGTTACATCCTGATCTTTTCTATAGCATTAATTGTGATGTGGTCATCTGTCGAGCAGGTTTTCTCCAGACTCTTACTTTGGCTGTAACTCTGAGCAGGGTTAGATTCAGGACCGCTGGTTTCTGTTGCGAGATCCAGTTTGTCACAATAACCTCTGCAGTATCTCTGAAGAGCCCGCAATGTTTCCTTTCTGAGCAGTATATAGATCCAGGGATCTATGATAGAGTTGTTCACAGCGAATCTTAGCACCAATAGTTCTCTGGCGCCATTACCATTGATCCATCTACCAGCATGTCCCAGAATGGTGAACTATACATGGAAAAGAAAATGTCATCAGATTAAATTGGAATCTGTTCTTGTGAATTAATTATTTACGACATAATTTCATAATTGGTTTCTGAGATTAGTATGAGAGATAATAAATAAATTCAGAATAATTATAGTATATTCTGTAATATATAAAAGATGTAATCAACAGCACAATTGCTTAGATGGAACCTCACTACATATGAATGATCTTTTCGTGAAAGGAATGACAATTGAACCACACACTTACCATTAGAGGTGTCCAACAAACACCAAAGACTGTCACAATAATCATCAGGAAAATTACAATGAAAACATCATTTTTCCTTCGTCTTTTTGCGGACATTTTAATGTTTGAATTCATTCCTCGGCAAACAGACACGATAACAATAAAGTTTAAAGCGATGGTCAACAGTAGGATAGCTAATCCAAACAGGGAGTAAATGTAAGAGTTTGCTCGGTCCAATGTGGAGGTTCCGACAAAGTTAAGGAAACACCATGAACCAGGATAATAATTGAAACTGGAACCTAGTCCCATCAGTTGAAGACAAGAAATGAATGTGCCGGTGATCCAAATAGAAATCAACATTATGTTTGTCCGTCGTTCTTTCCCTTCTGTGTTGTAAATAAAGGGATACAAAATTGCCATAAAACGATCAACGGACATTGCACAAACGATCATTGCAGAAGATATCAATGTAAATGTGTAAATAAAAGAACTGTAGTTGCAAAGATGTTTTGGAAAGTCATAAGTAAAGTCTGACGCATATCTAACCATAACCGTGGGATACACTAACAGTATTCCTCCACCATCTGTCAAAGCTAGACCCCCAACTAGTCTATAAAACGGTCTCCATTTGTGTGACTTTGCCGATGTTACTAAAACGACTAGCGCTATTAGATTCCCAATCACACCTAACGCAAACTGTATGGCAGGAGGAACGGCAGATTCCCAAACCTTGGTGCTTGTGGAGTTGGAGATAGTAGAGTTGGGCTCTTCTCCATCCATTCTGACGATCAAACGTCATATGAGCGGTAGCCTTAATTTTGTTATTATATATAGTGTCGCTAAGTCTCTCCTATAACTTCCTTGTTCTCCACAATAACCTCTAGCCACCAATTGCAAGCAACTCTCTTAATACGTAAATAGCCACTCAGGAATACTGTATTAGAGAGCAGGGGGACCTACATCTTATTGAGAGAAATCAGTCTGATTTAGTTTTAGGTCTTTTTTTTCTTATTCGAAGTGATTTGTTTATGGAAACATTTAATTTTTCTGTGTGTTGATGTAGGAAAAACTTCCCCCATGTCAACAAATTCTATTTCAGGTTAAAACCTTTTTTTTCAATTTTATTAAACGAGGATGGTATGTACATATTATTTTTATTCTAACTGCATGTATTAATATAAAAGATTAATTTCCTAGAAATGCGTCTCTGTAAATTCATTATCCCTGAATCTTACAAAATTTACAAAGTTTAAAGTAGGTTAAAAAAAAGTATCAACACTTGATATTTTTAAGCTGGGGCCCGTTTCACAAAAGAACTTACGACTAAGATCAAAATTCAATTCAATTACTTTCTAATTAAAATTATATTAAAAATGGTTTTAATGTTTTTAAAATGAATGTAGTAAGATATTTTTACACTCGCAATTCTAAACAGAATCATTAATTTTGCAAAATTTTACAATCAACTAATTTTATTGGTCTTAGTCGTAAGTTCTTTTGTAAAACGGGGCCCTGCTTATGATGTTCCAAGGAACAATAACTTAAAATCAGAAATTTCGTAGTATAGATTTTTATCTACATATTAAAGATTAATAAATTTCTTATTCAAATAAATGAAGTGGGTTTGAAGACAACATTCTTTTGACATGTCGGTATATTTTTCATAAAGAATATACAGGTAAACGTTTCTAGTTTATGATTTTCACCATATTAACTGACATGTAACATTTTAGTTTGTCGAAACTCAGATGTAATTATTGGCATATGTTCAAAATATTTCAAAGGAAACATTTATAAAGAATAAACATAGTCAGTAAAAGTTCATGTCGGTATCTACTTTACTCAAGTTCTTCTTAAAGTATTTTTAAGTGCAAGTAATTAAAAAAAATCTTAATTCATTTTTCCTGATGTTTTTTTTTTCATTTTACTTTACTCGTGATGCCAACACTTTACGTGAAGTACAAATTCTTTTTAAAAAAAGACATTTAATTACATAAAAATCATCTTGGTTTCAATCATTACACATTCACCTAGATTAAAGCTGGAACATTTCACTATTTCTTACAGTGACACACAAACTTTAATTAACGTGTAAAAGTTTGTAACTTGTTTAGTAGTTTCGTTTTACCTTGGTCATTTTAATTTTTTTTCATAATTTCCTCCTTCTTCCTAGGATTAATCGGGATATTGGCCACTTATTGTCTTTATTGAATATTTGTGATCTGCTGGGGCCGATCCCTTAGGATTTCGTATACTATGAAGACAAAATGCCGGAACTTGCACTTACTGATGTGACGCATTATTTGTTTGCTTTCAGCCACCGATTTTCTATAAATCTTAAGTTATTCAAGACCTAAAAGACCTGTTTTTGTCCAGATATTGTAATAAACATTTTTACATAAAATAAATAGCACATTTTTTTCTTTGCGATTCGTGAGAATCTTTTTTTTTTAATCATATTTTAGCAAATATAAAATCAGATCGGTCATTATAAAACATTCTTTTGATAAACAATTCGTTTCTATCCAAGAAAAATACATTCCTTTGTTCTATAGTACGTTTAATACATTCTTCTCTTTTAGTGTACCTCTTTTCACAAGGAAACTCGCTTGTCGTATATTATTCTAAAATCAACTGCTAAAAATACATTGTATCTCTTGGGGAAACACATAACTGCACATAGCAAGATATCCTTTACATTCGTGAAATGTGCTATTAAACGTTTTAACTATCAGCATAATTGTTTAAAATCAAGAGGAGATAATAAATAATCTCTTTTAATTTCCTTTCATTCAAAGTACAAGGGAAATGAATGAGCAATTAATAAACTTAATTAAATTGATAATTCCATGTATTGTTTTCATGACATAATTACGTATTGAAAAGCAAATAGACATTCAATACATTACTTAAAATACAGTTTATCTAATTAGTCCACTGCATGGCGTTATCGTTACTTTCCAAAGTTTAACCCTTGGCATTAATTATTATGAAACATAAATGCAAAAAGTGTCGATAGATTTGAAGCAAAATCCTGTCTTAATAAAAAATGTTAAATATTATCGCCATTAGAGAAAATTTTGCGATTCTAAGGCTACCTTCTCTAACATTTGATAAGGCTACATATGTTATCTAAATGATAAACATTTGATAAATCACTTTATTCTATACTGAAATTGAACACTTTACAATATATGTAAAATGGGTTTATCAAAATAGCACATTAAAATTCTTCCCGAATAGAATATACATTTATTTGCACAGGTATGAATGATATTTACACAGGCAATTTTAATGCTATTGATCTGTCGATTTTTTTTTCGAGGGGTGTGTGTGTTTATTTCTTGGTTTCAATTAGCTTAGTTTGTTATTATAATATAATCAAAAATAATATAACGCATAATAATTCATTTCATGAATAATAAGTTTTGCAAACAAAACCAGCAAATTCTTTTCTTAATTTTGAGAGAAGTTTATCTAGTATATTCTAAAAGTGAAAGCATTTTCATATCCTTAAATATTTTCTTGTATATATGTCAAAAATACTTTGATCAATCTATCAGAGAAATACTGAACACTGTTGTAAACCAACAATGAGCGGAAAATAAACATGAACCACAGCAAACTAAAAGCTGGTATTCACTCCACTATCCGACTTATAAAACAAACCAAGGCGTAACTTTTTTTTTCCTCTTTATTTTCTCTCTGTAATTTAAGGACTAAAAGAATGATAAAGGACACCAAATAGTCTTTGCATCTTTAAAAATGTAAAAGGGAAGATAACGAACAGTGATCAATCTCAAAAATCCAGGAAACAAAACGAGAAGTGAACAAGGTATACACATTGGCCCTTGGATACACCAGAGATGGGATCAGGTGCCTAGGAGAAGTAAGTACCCCCTGTCGACTGGTCACACACGCCATGAGCCCCACTTACTGATCAGGTAGAGGAGTACTCCGTAATCAAATTTAGTATGAAAAAGTAATGACCTAACATACTCGTACTAGTATGTAGAATGTCAGAATGCTTAAGAAAGTAATTTTGTAGATGACCAACCACAAGTTATGAAAATGGAGTTCCAATTTTATTGAAGAAGCAGTTTTCTATGATTAAAAAAAAAAATCTGTTTTTCAATTTATCGCGAGGAACGGTTGTATAAAGCGGAGAAAAGTATTATGTTTTGACGCTGTTGATATTTGAAAAGTTTTGATATTTTAAATTTCCAGCCTATAACGCTGTATGTGGGGCTGTATTGGATGTTGTGTAGCCTGTAGCGCTGGTTGTGGAGCCTATAATGCTGGTCGTGGAGTGTAGTGGATGTTGTGGAACCTATAGCCCTGGTTGTGGAACCTATAACTCTGGATATGGAGTCTGTAGCGCTGGTTGTGGAGCCTATAATGCTGGTTGTGGAGCTGTAACGGACGTTGTTAGGCCTGCAACCTTCGGAGGGGGACAGCGCTGTCTCGCTCTTTTGGAGGTTGATCTTATGGGTACTGTTCCTTCCGTTTCTGCATTTTCCATGGCATGATTTCCTTGATGCGATATTTTACATACAAAAGAAGGAGAAAGGTTAAAGTAAAAGATGTATACTTGTAAAAATGAAGATAAATCATGATAATGTACGTCTTATGGCGTCACACAGTGTCTCATACCTAACAACTTAACTTTCTTACTTTGAAGTGAGTTGCTTGCAATTGACGAACGAAATGTAAGTGAAGTACGATTATATAAACAATTAATAACGTTTTAGATGTTTTTACTTATTTATACAGAAAACTCCTTAGTTTTTTCTTGAATAAAGAATATATATGCTGAGGCGAACTTACCATTCTCAAAATTTGGAAGATGCCGACAATTAAGAAACAATGTAAACAAATGTAACCATAAGCCGATAATAATCCATCTGACAAAGTCCCATCTTTCAAATTCGTTTGGTGTGAAGATCTTCCCATCCCCCCCTCCCCCCCCCCCCTAAAAAAAATTGGAAATCGAACCCGACTTTTGTTTTTTTTTTTAAATAAAAAATAGATATTAGCTATAGTGTCGAAATAACAATCTACTCACAATTGATATGAAGCCCTTAGACAACCAAGACGAGATAAAACCGTCCCCGGTCCCGAAATAAGCAATTATGAGGTAATTTATTAGAATAGTATAATTAATTTAGTATGATTATGTAAAAAAAATGCTATGAATACCAATTACGCTTCTATAAGTATGCCACATGTTGTCTAGAAAACTTGCATTGAGGTTGAGGGATGATTGATTCAAAGTGAGACAATATGGCGACACCAATAAAAACGTGGTTGAGTTTAACATGCCATCGATAATTATTGTGTACGAAAATGTGAAAAAATTATACGATGGATGACAATTACAACTAAATTTATTTAAATTCATTTATTATTTCTTTTAAATAATGGAGATTTTGAATTCAATATATTATGTTAAAGGGGAATAACTGGCTACTAGCTAGGAAAGACAACTATATTTGCAATCCTCCTATAACAGCATCCTATTCCTACAAATAAAGGGAATAGATGCAAAATTATATAAAATAGAATATTAAAATTGAGTCCCTGAAAGCTAATGGAATTTGTTCTTAGTTGACACATAGGAGTGTTATCTACTTTATATCATTTTGAAACAATTTCTTATTATTTAACTAATATTCTAGGAGACTTGTAAATTAAAATAAGATCAAGGAATAATTTTATCTTTGTAAAATTCAGTATTGCAGATCGCATCGCAAAAAATACATGCCGAAACAGTCAACATAAAGGGAAGATATTAGACAAGAATGC